TGGGGAGGGGCCGCCACTGGTAGGGACTGTCCAGTTTGTCTGATGTATATAGCAGAGGGGCATTGCTGGCACATCATGCAACAAAAAAAACTTCAAGAACAGACTTCAAAGAAAGCGGCGAGGAGTCCTGTGGAACCTTATAGACTAACTAAATTTCAGTTAGTCTATAAGGTGCCACAGGACTCCTCGCCGCTTTTGCAGATTCAGACTAACACAGTTACCACTCTGATACTAGACTTCAAAGAGAAGCTGCTGAGCTTCAGTTCATCTGTAAATTTGATACCATCAGTTTAGGATTAAACAAAGACTGTGAATGGTTAGCCAACTACAAAAGCAGTTTCTCCTCTCATGGTTTTCACACTTCCACATCAGCTGCTAGAAGTGGGCCTCATCCTCCCTGACTGAATTGACCTCTTTATCTCTAGCCTTACTCCTGATTGGTACTCTTTTCTTATGTCTATATATTTATACCTGCCTCTGGAATTTCCACTACATGCATCTGACAAAGTGGGTAATTGCCTTTGTGTGCTCCAAACCAATGCCACAACACACTCCCTTGTTTCTCACCATGCAGACCATTGCCAAAAACCATTGCTCTACCAGGCCTGTTCTGGTAGCAGAGGGTTACACAGTGTCTTCTTTAAAAACAGACAGTTGCCAACATACATGCATTTGCCATAGGTGATCAGTGATTAGAGATGTGGCAAAATATGGCCAACTAGTGGCAGAACATTGCCCCGTCATCAGCAGGGACCTGGATTGGAGTTCCTGGGGCAAAGCTGAAGCCAAGGTGCACCTGCTGGGGGTCAATGCTATACACAGTTATGAGGACCCAGATTTCATTCCCAGTCTTTCAATGCCTGGCCATTGTAAGTCCTGAGTATAAGAGGGAAACATTTTACAAATTTCTCAGTGTGGGCACTGACTTAGCTTCAGTATTAGTCACATTATGAGCCTTACTTTAGACAGCCTGCCAATTGCTGCTTCAGTTTTAACTTTAACTTGTCAATAATACCTGTTTGGAGCAAGTCTCAATGCTGTGGTTTGTAGCAGTAGCTATGGGAATCATGACTACACTGGAGCTCCCAGTTGCTAACCCCAGTGAAGCTGAATAGTACTGACAACATGGACAAGTTTTAGAAAATATCCTCTGTGTAGACTAGACCACAGTTAGCACAAGAAATTGTTTGGTGCCTCAGAGTGTGGCCACCAACTCATGCTGGTGACTTCACTGACATTTTCCTTAAAATACTTAATTAACTTTAGGAAAAACAAATAAATAAGCACATGTACACATCCAAATCATTGCAGATTATTTATATAGTTTTGGGGTTTTTTGCACCCTCAATAATAAAAATAATGCTATGAAAAGTGATACCTGCATGCTTGTTAATATCACTTTTCTCAGCAAGCCCCAGGACAAAGTAAGCCCTGAATGGAAGGAATGATCAGAGGGAGGATGCAGTGGGGACCTGGGGCAATGTGGGGTGGTGAGTCTGTGTGGCCAGAGTTGGGGATTAGTGCCCACCACTATTTGGTCAGAGCCAGGTTCCAGGCAGCTAAAGCCAGGGATTGGAGTTTGCTGCCACATGGCAGGGGCCAGGAGTCTACACCCAGGGAAGAGAGCCACGGTCATATAGCCAGAGCTGGAGGTCAGTGCTCAAAACCCTGTAACCAGACTCCCAAAGTCCCACTGCTGGTCAGAGCCTGCTGCCCAATCACCCCAGAGCTGAAGTCAGAGTCCCCCTCTTCTCTCTTAAAGGTGGGTTGAGATCTCACCTTGCTCCTGGAGACAGGTGAGGCCCAATGCCACAAAGGCTGATATTCCTCTCTCCTCACCCATCACTATCATGGCTGCATGAAAAGCCCCCGTTGGCTGCATGTGAGAAATTCTGGACTAGACCATACTGATTACTTCTATGCAGAAAAGCTGGGCTCACATTCCAGCTTGGTTCTCTGTCTTCTCAGCAGAAATGCAGTGTTGCAGGTACAGGCCTCTAGCCAGAGGGCAAATACTCTGTGCTGTCACTCACACTCCCTGTGAGCACAGGTTAGTCCCCTGGGGTTGGGGAGTGTGCTGACTTTAAATACCATGTATTAACTATAATGCTTGTCAAATCTTCAGAGAGGTAGACATGTTAGTCTGTTTCACCAAAAACGAAGAGTCCTGGGGCACCTTATAGACTGGTACTAGTAAAATTTCCTCTAAAACATTTGTTAGTTCTTAAGATACCACAGGACTCCTCGTTGTCAAATCTTATTTAGCTCTAGCTTCTGCTATGGGCTTTCCATGTACACTGCATCAATGAGTTTCAACTGAGGCAGCCAGTCCTATGTTTAGAGCACAAGACTGAATACCATGTGACACTTTATATTATTCAAAACATTACCATTAACGCAGTGTGACTTTGGGCAACTTGGAGATAAGGTGGGTGATATATCTTTTACTGGACCCACTTCTATTGAGGATAATCACCACACTCATCTTGTCTCTCTAATATCCAGGGACTGACACAGCTATAACAAAACTGCAAACAACTTTGGCAACATATATAAACCTCACTATGCCTCAGTTTTCTGAGTATATAAAATGGGGATAATACTTTTGTAAAGTTGTTTGAGATTCTCCAGGAAAGGCACAGGCGAGGCATAGATTATTATTATCTTAGGGTGGCTGAAACAATAAACCGAGATTAAAACAGTGGGAAGGTGAGGGCAAAATACACCCAAGTAAATGCCCCAACACCAAAAACAAATAGCAAGAGAGAAACATTGCACTTCCAAAACATCTTCCTCCAGCACTCTGGGCAGAAATTTATATCACATTCCATGTCTTCTTTTGGGACAAGCAGCCTCTTTTCTGTCTGTGCTACAGCAAATCTAGGTGGGGACTGTCACCCTATTTATGTTTGCCTTCTAAACAAAAAAGTCACACAAATGATGCCTTGACTCCTCAAATAACTGTTGGGTTCTAGTTCCCCTGCAAACTGTAGGAATGGTATAAACCAGAGGTCAGCAACCTTTCAGAAGTGGCATGCCAAGATTTAACTTTCCCCATCCTTCTCAGTATAAGCCCTGTTCCCTCCCATCCTGCCCCCACATCTTCCTTCACCCTCTCTTGCCCCCACATCCCTGTGTCCCAGCACACACACCGGTAGGGCAGCAGTACTGTGGGAGGGTCTCCCGACCTGTGGAGAGCAGCTGTGGCTTAGCCTGGGCTCCTGCACCCCATGGAGGTGGCAGCAGCATGTGACCAGCTGCGCCACCCCAATCTGCAGAGCAGGAGGCAGAGCCTGTAGCAGGGGAAGGAGGGTGTTAACCCCTGAACTCCCAGGAGCTGCACACCCCAGGGACGCAGAGCCCAACACAGTGTCGTGCCATCTGCTCTACTTGCTGGGCTGCCTGGCTCCTATACCGTGCCATAAAAAATCATCTTGCATGTCACTTATGGCGCACATGCTGTAAGTTGCCGATCCCTAGTATAAACCCTTGAAAACAATGACTGCCCTGAAGTGTTCTGAGAATAGGTGACAAATGCCCATTATATGGCATTGCTCCAGGTTGTCTCTAATGCTGGCATAAATAGCATATCACTGTTTACAA